AATTAGCCATGTGTTTCGCTGTTGCGAGTTTAAGAGAAAAACTACAAACAGATACAAGTCACATGAAATAGCATTTCCTGCATGATTATCTTAAAATATGTCTACTCATCTGTGTAAACAAATCCAGTGTTCGGTTAATGGCGTCCAATATACAAAAATATGCACTGAAAAAGTATGGGAAGCAAAAAAAGAAACCCACATGTGTTTTTCATTTTTAAAAATGTTTACTTTACTCTTATTTATCATTGTTTTATTTCCAGTTTCTCTTGCCTCCCAATAATCATGTGATACACAGACACTTAAAAATTTCAACCAGACACTTTATTTGTGCTCAGAAAGGCTTAAAATACACCATTTAAGGTCTACATTTGAAAAGATTACACGAGGGGGCATGCTCCAACCCCCCAGTGCAACACTGAAACCCCTGATAGTTTCGCTCGTGCCTGCAGCCAACTTGTACAAGGGGCCCCCCTTATCTTGGAGACCGATGCAAGCACTGAAACCCCCGATAGTTTCGCTCGTGCCTGCAGCCAACTTGTACAAGGGGCCCCCATTATCTGGGAGACCGATGCAAACACTGAAACCCCAGATAGTTTCACTCGTGCCTGCAGCCAACTTGTACAAGGGGCCCCCATTATCTGGGAGACCGATGCAAGCACTGAAACCCCCGATAGTTTCGCTCGTGCCTGCAGCCAACTTGTACAAGGGGCACTCATTATCTGGGAGACCGATGCAAACACTGAAACCCCAGATAGTTTCACTCGTGCCTGCAGCCAACTTGTACAAGGGGCCCCCATTATCTGGGAGACCGATGCAAGCACTGAAACCCCAGATAGTTTCGCTCGTGCCTGCAGCCAACTTGTACAAGGGGCACTCATTATCTGGGAGACCGATGCAAACACTGAAACCCCAGATAGTTTCACTCGTGCCTGCAGCCAACTTGTACAAGGGGCCCCCATTATCTGGGAGACCGATGCAAACACTGAAACCCCAGATAGTTTCGCTCGTGCCTGCAGCCAACTTGTACAAGGGGCCCCCCTTATCTGGGAGACCGATGCAAACACTGAAACCCCCGATAGTTTCGCTCGTGCCTGCAGCCAACTTGTACAAGGGGCCCCCATTATCTGGGAGACCGATGCAAACACTGAAACCCCAGATAGTTTCGCTCGTGCCTGCAGCCAACTTGTACAAGGGGCACTCATTATCTGGGAGACCGATGCAAACACTGAAACCCCAGATAGTTTCACTCGTGCCTGCAGCCAACTTGTACAAGGGGCCCCCATTATCTGGGAGACCGATGCAAGCACTGAAACCCCCGATAGTTTCGCTCGTGCCTGCAGCCAACTTGTACAAGGGGCACTCATTATCTGGGAGACCGATGCAAGCACTGAAACCCCCGATAGTTTCACTCGTGCCTGCAGCCAACTTGTACAAGGGGCACTCATTATCTGGGAGACCGATGCAAACACTGAAACCCCAGATAGTTTCGCTCGTGCCTGCAGCCAACTTGTACAAGGGGCACTCATCATCTCCTCACAGCGATAGCCCGTCCGCGGAGCTCTCTATACCAAGAGTATAAAATAACGAAGGTGTCACGCGCTGGGAAGGATACAGGGTATAAGTTATAACTCTGACTAACTCATGAAAATGTAAATTGCCAATATATTGCAATACATAATGCAATACAGGCTAAAGTATGGCAATATATTGCAATACAAAATCCAGGTCAATACACAGCCCTAACCAACAGGGATTTAATATACAGTGGCATTTATCGAAAGCGGACTTGCATAGACCGGCCCAGTTCAGACAGCACTCTTGGTCAGTCAGAAATATTATTCTAGCAATAGTAATGTCACTTTGTGACACAAGGCCGAGGACTCAAAATTCGAAGACATTTGTGCATGTTCAACAATTTTCTTTTTCATGAAACACTCGTAAATAAAACAGATTTATGAACGTACATCACAGCAGTCAGGGAGCTGTCAGTATGAGAGATGAACGTACATCACAGCAGTCAGGGAGCTGTCAGTATGAGAGATGAACGTACATCACAGCAGTCAGGGAGCTGTCAGTATGAGAGATGAACGTACATCACAGCAGTCAGGGAGCTGTCAGTATGAGAGATGAACGTACATCACAGCAGTCAGGGAGCTGTCAGTATGAGAGATGAACGTACATCACAGCAGTCAGGGAGCTGTCAGTATGAGAGATGAACGTACATCACAGCAGTCAGGGAGCTGTCAGTATGAGAGATGAACGTACATCACAGCAGTCAGGGAGCTGTCAGTATGAGAGATGAACGTACATCACAGCAGTCAGGGAGCTGTCAGTATGAGAGATGAACGTACATCACAGCAGTCAGGGAGCTGTCAGTATGAGAGATGAACGTACATCACAGCAGTCAGGGAGCTGTCAGTATGAGAGATGAACGTACATCACAGCAGTCAGGGAGCTGTCAGTATGAGAGATGAACGTACATCACAGCAGTCAGGGAGCTGTCAGTATGAGAGATGAACGTACATCACAGCAGTCAGGGAGCTGTCAGTATGAGAGATGAACGTACATCACAGCAGTCAGGGAGCTGTCAGTATGAGAGATGAACGTACATCACAGCAGTCAGGGAGCTGTCAGTATGAGAGATGAACGTACATCACAGCAGTCAGGGAGCTGTCAGTATGAGAGATGAACGTACATCACAGCAGTCAGGGAGCTGTCAGTATGAGAGATGAACGTACATCACAGCAGTCAGGGAGCTGTGAATATGAGAGATGAACGTACATCACAGCAGTCAGGGAGCTGTCAGTATGAGAGATGAACATACATCACAGCAGTCAGGGAGCTGTCAGTATGAGAGATGAACATACATCATAGCAGTCAGGGAGCTGTCAGTATGAGAGATGAACGTACATCACAGCAGTCAGGGAGCTGTCAGTATGAGAGATGAACGTACATCACAGCAGTCAGGGAGCTGTCAGTATGAGAGATGAACGTACATCACAGCAGTCAGGGAGCTGTCAGTATGAGAGATGAACGTACATCACAGCAGTCAGGGAGCTGTCAGTATGAGAGATGAACGTACATCACAGCAGTCAGGGAGCTGTCAGTATGAGAGATGAACGTACATCACAGCAGTCAGGGAGCTGTCAGTATGAGAGATGAACGTACATCACAGCAGTCAGGGAGCTGTCAGTATGAGAGATGCGCAGGGCAGTCTAAGACCGACAATGGTGAGGCAACTAGTCTTGGAAGTCATAAACAGCCTTAGTGTCCATCCCAGGACTGCCCTGTGCTTACACTGCACTGCTCAATGTTAAATTGAGATTATTAAGATGTCAACCATCCATCAATTGTTCCAACATCATCAACCCTGAAGCATACTTAGAAGTGCTTACTCTCTGAATTGGAAGAGTGCAGATTCTTACTCAGTGCTGGTCCAAGCTGCCATTGTGACGATTATTACTGTATATATCCATCAATAACACAAGTATTGCCGTATATAGCCATCAATACCACAAGTTTTACTGTATATAGCCGTCAATAACACAAGTATTTGCGTGTGTAAACACATGCTCTGAAATCATGCTCTTATTTTGGTGAGGTTCAAATTCTTGCATTGCACTCAATAATGTCAAACTAGGTCACATCTGCAAGGCAATAAAACATAAAGTTGGAATTTATAATAGCCTGAATGAGGACATCTTTAACCACTGTTAACTGAAACTTGGGGAATGTTTAGGCTGAATATCAGCCTCCAAGAAGGCCTGGATCAACCCTGACACTGGGCCAAGCTGTCCAACATACTGTCCATATCTTGACTACCAGGAACAGCCTGGGGCCAGTAGACAAGTGTGATACACCAGCTGACCCTGGACGAGACATCTTCCTAATGGATAACTGCTGATATATTCATTGCTGTCTCTCGCAGTCATTTTGCAATTGATTGATTTCATTGACGATTTGTTGTTTTCAGATTTCAAGGAATCACTAACGAAATCTATAACCAATGATATTCATATATTCCTTCAATGTCTGTACTGAGCAAGCAAAGGTGACAGGATGACTCGGTATCATCGAGGAGTTTATTCTAGCAACATCACACTTGGCATGACGTGACCCATCATGCATGCATAGGACACAAAACTTACACCGGCACACTTGAACGAACTGTCTCACACAAAACCAACATTGAACGAATATACTAGGGTCAGTTTTCAGGATCCAGGAGGCGACACTGTGAGCTATATAGTGAACTATTCGATAGTTAGTGCCAGGTGTTTATGGAACATACATGACTTCATTAGGGGATAAAGTTACAGTCTTTGCGATTTAATAACTATTTTTAGCACATTTGTCTGACCTGAATCTGGCTATTATAGTAAGTCTGTAACTAATCACTGAACATATTCATGAAAACAAAAATACCTTCCTGTTCCAAACAATTCATGACAGACTCATAAATATCAGGAAATCTTATATCCTCTAAAGTTTACAATTTATTTATTTTTGGATTCCTCTGAGAGTCATTTTCTGTAACACATTGTCCAAGGTGTATTTTGATTTCAAGTTTTACCTCTCCTTCTGTAGAACTGCAATGGAATTCTCTCCCATGCGTTGGCACAGGTAATTTCTTTGAGCCTGGTAAAACTGAATACATTTAGATCTAATAACTATTTCCTCAAACATCAGCAATGTTTTAACAAGCCAATATGTGTACTTCAGATTACCTTGAATGATTTTGAGTATGCTGGTCCAATAACTTGAAGAGGTCAATATTATCATTCAGCTTCACATCTTGCTGATGACGTGTGGAGTTAATCAACTGTGCCTACCCCTGTTTATCTTTGCATTCATGTGTTGATATCACACTTTTAGACACGTGACAATGACACTGGGACCCTCAAACTAACGCCAACTTGCAAACATACATTTTACAACAATATATCGAGACAGACAAATACTCAAAAACAACCATTCCTCTTTCACAGTTGTCGACTTACCCAAACTTTTATAATATGCACCCTGACATTTTTTTCTGAGAAAGGGACATAACCACGTGTTTGGACACAAGTTCCCGCGTTGGGACTTGTCTGTTGACAGAGGGGGTGGTAGCTAGTTTGATCCAGTTAATATCGTCACGTAAGACAAGGATAATGCCTCATTTAGCATAAAACAATATTGAGTCATATACCAGAACACCTACATTTGGTAAAAATACTATTTTCCAAATGTACCACATTGCAGAACGAAAATATCTGCACATAAAATAAACCTTACTCCCCTACTAGAATTATGTGTTTCGCGATCCCACTTTTTTCAAGGGAGGTTACTCTAATATCTCGTTATGCATAACTTGCAGATGGCTGTCGTTAATCGTACATATAATGTTTGCAGATGTTAGAACAATTTACAGAACGCCGGTTTATTTTACTCCATATTATATATTCGTATTTCTTTATTCAGGACAATTTCTAGTGACTGTGACTTCCCGTTTGACCTTAATATTATCTGGCGAGCAGACTGGTCTATATAATGACGAAGTATTTTCTTAGCATTAAAATATTATTTCATTTTTGTTGGCATGATTGCAAATTTGAAATCCTGTATATGTTACAGTCAATGTGTTAAATGACCGATTTGGCTCAAGCAATATTTACAAAAAGCAAAAATATTTCAGTCTTTTACAATTATTTTCCCGTCAGTTTGACTAAAAGTTATTAAGAAGTTCAAAAGATCTTAAAAACATAACAATAGACTAATTATGCTGGGATTAGAAGCCAAACAATTAAAATCCAATTGGCACAAGATACACTGACTTTCGTTTTCTTTTAATCCAGTCATTTACAGTCACTGCATGGGTGAAGAAATAGTCCATAAAATGTGTAGAACTCGTTATCATAATTAAATAAACGGGAAAATAATTGTGAAATATTTTGGCGTTTTGTTAATTCCCGAAGTGGTTTAAACATAGTTATTTTCACAAAAGTGTGAAAATGGATTGGTAAACAAGCGAAGCGGTTATGTTAATTCCCCTCCATTACACACAGGACATATTTACAATAAATACATCAATGTAGGTTAGACGTAACAAATAAATTGTACATACCAAGCTAGATGTGTATATATACTGAACAGCATTGAAAACGCACCACCATGAAAATGGATGTATTTTCATCCGGGCTTAAGTCATATGAAAATATATAAGTGAATGCGTAATATACGACGTTCTGGGCGAAGCATGAAGAAGAACGTACAGCTCGTCAAAACCCCTTCCTAAATTTTTTGTGAGCGAAATCGCCAAAACGCAACAAATTGCGTGCACATCATGAAAACGTGTTTTGTTTCACGGGAAGCATGTAGAATAGGGCTATAAAAGACAGACTTTTAAAAGCCACATCACTTGTTGCTGCAGACGTAAAGGGTACTGACACAAGAAATGCCAAGATTAACAGCAGAGGAACGTGAACGTGCCTTGAGCATGCTTCAAGTTGGTACGTCAAGTAGAGTCGTTGCACAACGGTTTCAATGCCATCATTCAACAGTCCTCAGGCTACTGAGCAGATACCAGCAGACAAGAACCACCAGAGATCGACCACGTCCGGGTCAACGTCGTGTAACTACACCACGTCAGGATCGCCATATTGTTCGTCGGCATCTTCGTGATCGTACTCTTCCGGCTACCAGGACTGCAGCAACCGTACAAGGCCGACGGAATTGATCAGTGCTGACACCGTACGTCGACGTCTCCGCTCAGCAGGGCTACATGCTCGACGTCCATATGTTGGACCCATACTCACTGATCGACATCGAAATGAACGTCTGCGTTGGGCCAAAAGGCATCGTCATTGGAGATGGCGGCAGTGGCATGGTGTGCTGTTCTCTGATGAGTCCCGTTTTCATTTACGGAATGCTGACGGTCGACTGCGAGTGTGGCGTCGACGTGGAGAACGTTACCACAATGACTGCGTTGTACAGACAGATCGATGGGGGGAGGGAGTGTCATGGTGTGGGGCGGCATCAGTCATAACCATCGAACAGAGCTCCATGTTTGTCGTGGAAGAGTTAATGCCCTTTACTACAGGAATAACATATTGGCAAATCACGTCATCCCATTCTTTCATCAGCACCAGGATATGCACACCTTCCAGCAAGATAATGCAAGAGCGCACACAGCACGTGTTTAAAATCAGTACCTAGCGAACAATAATGTGCCTCTGCTTCAATGGCCAGCCCTGTCACCCGATCTATCGCCAATTGAACATCTATGGGATTACCTGGGAGCATATAAACGTGTCATTTTTCCAATAAGTTAGCTTGTTCATTAGTACCGTTGTCCCAAATATGACAGCAATAATCAAAATTGGTAAAATAAATTATTTGTACATAGTTTCTAATGTAGTTCGGGATAGACGATATTTATAACTTCTTAAACAATTAACCAGAGGACAACATTTCCTTACAATATCACCAATGTGCATTTTCCATGTACAGTTACTTTGTAAAGTAATACTTAGGTGCTTATGACTTTGCATCTTTGATTTCTGTACCATTCATATATAAGTTAGGTTTGCGACTAGGGTTTACCTTCCCGGTAAATTGAAAGGATTCAGGTTTTTTTCGGAACTAAAGTTAACTTGCTATCCAGCAGATCGATTGCAAACCGCGCTCTCCTCTCCTAATGTTGAAGGTATCATTTTATAGTGTTCGGGCCTGGCCTGTCTTTGTCACATGTCACACAATACCTCATTTTCATTCGTTAAAAAGTTAGATCTGACCATGAACTCATGTGTGTCGTAATCGGAAAATTACAGAAGCCTACGTGCCAGATTGCTCATCTCTCTAGTGAGTGAAATATTGCTGACGGTGTTAAACTCAACACAGTGAGTGGAATATTGCTGACGGTGTTAAACTCCGCACAGTGAGTGGAATATTGCTGATGGTTTTAAACTCCGCACAGTGAGTGGAATATTGCTGACGGTGTTAAACTCCGCACAGTGAGTGGAATATTGCTGATGATTTTAAACTCCGCACAGTGAGTGGAATATTGCTGACGGTGTTAAACTCCGCACAGTGAGTGGAATATTGCTGATGGTTTTAAACTCCGCACAGCGAGTTGAATATTGCTGATGGTGTTGCTGACGGTGTTCAACTCCACACAGTGAGTGGAATATTGCTGACGGTGTTAAACTCCGCACAGTGAGTGGAATATTGCTGACGGTGTTGCTGACGGTGTTAAACTCCACACAGTGAGTGGAATATTGCTGACGGTGTCGCTGACGGTGTTAACTCCACAAAGTGAGTGGAATATTGCTGACGGTGTTCAACTCCACACAGTGAGTGGAATATCGCTGACGGTGTTAAACTCCACACAGTGAATGGAATATTGCTGATGGTGTTGCTGACGGTGTTAACTCCGCACAGCGAGTTGAATATTGCTGACGGTGTTGCTGACGGTGTTAACTCCACACAGTGAGTGGAATATTGCTGATGGTGTTAAACTCCGCACAGTGAGTGGAATATTGCTGACGGTGTTGCTGACGGTGTTAAACTCCACACAGTGAGTGGAATATTGCTGACGGTGTTAAACTCCACACAGTGAATGGAATATTGCTGATGGTGTTAAACTCCACAAAGTGAGTGGAATATTGCTGATGGTTTTAAACTCCGCACAGCGAGTTGAATATTGCTGACGGTGTTGCTGACGGTGTTAAACTCCACACAGTGAGTGGAATATTGCTGATGGTGTTAAACTCCGAACAGTGAGTGGAATATTGCTGATGGTTTTAAACTCCGCACAGTGAGTGGAATATTGCTGACGGTGTTGCTGACGGTGTTAAACTCCACACAGTGAGTGGAATATTGCTGACGGTGTTAAACTCCACACAGTGAATGGAATATTGCTGATGGTGTTAAACTCCGCACAGCGAGTTGAATATTGCTGACGGTGTTGCTGACGGTGTTAACTCCACACAGCGAGTTGAATATTGCTGACGGTGTTGCTGACGGTGTTCAACTCCACAGAGTAAGTGGAATATTGCTGACGGTGTTGCTGACGGTGTTAACTCCACACAGTGTGTGGAATATTGCTGACGGTGTTACTCCGCACAGTGAGTGGAATATTGCTGACGGTGTTAAACGAGCGAACGCTTCAACCACCAGGCTACCACACCGCCCGAATTATGAAGGGATAAGAAGCGTGTAAATAAACAATTGTATGTGATAATCGTATCTTATTTAAACAACGACAATGTCGTTTCGTCGATATTTGACATATTTTGCATTTCGTTTGTCAAAAACCAATTCGGTATATCAACTGACGGCCAAAAGAAACGTTACCAACGATATTTCTAGGATAAAATATGACCAACACAATTTGAAGCAGCAATAACAATTGTATTGTAGAAATTCATCATTCAGAACAGTAAAATGCGAATTTACTAATTCAACAACAAAGTCCTTGACCTCCAACAGGGATTTTTCTTGACAAGGGGTCATTCGTCCAGTATTCGATCAACAACACTGGTTACAACTTTAAGGTGGCGACGGCCCAGACCGTCCAATACGGGATATGACCTCCATGAGCGTCAATGCATCTTCGAATGCGGTGTCGAAATGAGTAGCCAAGCGTCCTCACATCGACTACAGGTATGCGATCCCATTCCTCACGGAGGGCAACGATCAACGCTTATCTCGTGAAGGGAGGATGTTGACGTTTCCGAAGACGACGCCCCAGCTGGTCCCAGAGTTGTTCTATGGGTGACAGATCTGGTGATCGAGCTGGCCACGGCAGGACAGTCACGTTGTTGGCGTTGAGGAAGTCTCTAGTAATACGGGCTTTATGGGCTGTGGCGTTATCTTGTTGGAACACCGTCCGTTGTTGACGCTGGATGAAAGGAAGAACCACTGGCCGTAAGATATTGTCAATGTAGCGTTGTGCTGTCAGATTGCCTTCGATGATGACAAGTTCCGTCTTCTCGTCCCCGCAAATGCCGCCCCCGACCATCACACTTCCGCCCTCGTAAGGTTCCACCTCCGGGACACAACAAGGAGCCGTACGTTCCCCACGTCGTCGATAAACTCGCGTCCGCCAATCAGGTTTGAAGAGATGGAACCTGCTCTCGTCACTAAACAGCACTCGCCGCCATTCCCGTTGTTGCCATCGCTGAGTTTGCCTGCACCACGTCAATCTGGCACGTCGATGATGACTGGTCAAGGTCATGCCCTTGAAAGGGCGATAAGCCCGGAGACCATAATGTCGTAGTCGTCTGATCACT